AGGGATTAGGGTTTAGGGATCTTGAACGGGTTGAGGCATCTTAGGGTTTAGGGCTTTGGGAGCTTTGGCTTGTAGAGTTCAGGGATCTTTGGGTTTAGGGGTTTGCGATCTTCGGGGTTTAGGGTGCAGGGTTTGGGGGNNGTTTAGGGATTAGGGTTTGGAGGGTTTTAGGAATTGGGATCTTCGGTTTCAGTTGTTGAAGTTTGCTCGGGCCCTTCTCCCGACTGCTCAGGTTTGGTATGCAAAGAGTTGCATAGGGGTTTAGGCTTTAGGAGTGCAGGGCTCTACGGTTGATGATATACATCCTGCATCACCTTTAAGGACCTTAAACTATGGGAATTACGTCATATTCCTTATTATGGGTAAACCCTAAACCCTAAACCCTAAACCCTAAACCCTAAAAGGCAGTATCTTATATCATAAACCGTAGGACTTCGGACTTTTGGGGGTTGGAGGTTTACAGGTATAGTATGCAAAGGTTCAGGGCTTAGGGTTTAGGGTTTAGGGTTTAGGGTTTAGGGCTGCAACCCCAAACCCTAAAACCAAACCCGGGTTTCGGTTTTAGGAGTGCAGGGCTCTTCTGACTTTTGGCTTTTGGGGTTGGAGGTTTATGGGTCCAGGGGCTGTCGGCTTCGGATATCCGATCGAGGCTTCTAACCAGGAAAAGTTTAACATGGTGGGGCCAAAACGTGGGGATGTAGTCATCTTGTTAGAGAGGGTCAAAGCGGGCAAACGCGTCCAAAAAAAGCTTGCACTCGGAAGAAAGTCAACAGCTTGCGCGTGTGCGCTGGCTTGGCTGCGCCGCTGCTGCTGCTGCTGTTGCTGCTGTTGCTAGTTGTGCTGCTGCTGCTGCTGCTGCTGGGCCACGAACTTGTGCTCCTGCACCTGGCACGGCTGGCGCCCAAACCCTACACCCCAAATCTTGAAATCCAGGAACCTACGCCCGAAACCCACTTGCCAAGATCCTGAGCTCAAAAACCAACCTGCACCACGCAAACCCGAATCTGCAGGACCCCTGCTTTAACTGCAAACCCTAAACTTCCCTAAACTCCAACATTCAGTGTTTAGGGCTTAGCTTCCAGGGTAGGGTAAGTAGGGTTTAGGGTGGACTGCGAGTGGCAGCACGCTGTTTTAAGCAGCTACGAGCAAATCGTAGTGGTCACCAAGCCACAAAAGCCGAATGATGGAACCGTTGTTCTGTACAATGCCCACCGTGCTTAAGTGCCGGTATCGCCCCGTGCCCCCATCCAAGCTGTACACTTTGACTTGGCACTTCCATCGGAAGGCCATTACTGCAGCCTCGAGCCATCCTCCCCAGGCATTGCAAGCCGCAGTTGACCCCATATGTGCAAAATACTCATCTGGCTGCTTTCCAGAAGATGCAATGATTGCATCCTTGAGCAATACTGTGTTGCTCTCTCCTGGTGGAAAAGGTTCTCCTGCAAGACAAGGTTGCGTCAGAAACTTGCAACTCAAGGTTGCGGGTGCAACTTGGGCTAAGCAGCTCAACAGAACTTGAAGCGTGTTCAGGGTTGTTTCGGGTGTAAAACCTGGGTTTCGGATTGTATCGCTGTCCTTGGTGCTGCTCCATCCACTGCATTTGAACAGCACGGTTCGTCTTGCCCCACTGTCGTTGTTTCACTGCGTCCATCTCCAAAGTTCCGGATTTGAGGGCCCTGTGCCCCACAGCTGCAGCAGTAAAGAGGCAATTGCCATCACCGCATATGCGGACGCGATTCCACGGTCCGGAACTGATTTCTGCCCTTGCTGACACATCCAGAAAGCCAGAGAGACGACTTTGCAAGCCTGCTGGCATGCCCCACTTCTCGCGAGTAGGAGTGTCTGGGATCCTCTTCTTCTTTGCGGGAGCCTGGTTCGGCCAAATGTCACGGCTGTGATGGTGTTTGTGAACGCTCTGCTGGCACAACTGACACCCCAGCCCAGCCTCGCGTCCTGAACCAGCAGGGCTGTCAGAAACCCTCTTCTTTCTGCTTGGCTGAACCTCAGCTTTGGCAAAACACGAAACTAAACTCAAGCTGACAACCACTGCTACCCTCAAGATTTCCCTGGAGCTGCGGCCTCCAAAAGGGAGCTTAGCACGTCGTCATGTGGTGGGGCATCTGCTGCCTCTGCCTCAGATCGAACACTCGGAAGAGCAATGCGGCATCATGTGTCGATTCTTTGGCTTGGTGCCAAGAAGCTAGCAGAAGCTAGGGGCAAGGGGGAGAATGGGCGTTGATAATGAGAATATGGCATTGGTGTGAGATGGGAACTTCGGTACCTAATGAAGTTGTCTCGGGCCTTCGGCTTCCGTTCCGCTACTGCCCGTTTACACCCAGGCCCTAAACCTCGAACCCTCAACCCAAAACTGCTGTAAGCCCGATAACTTCCAAACCCCATGCCTTGAGAACCCTCAAGTCGAAAGTGCGACACTTTCTTGGAAACTGGACCGCCTGCAAATTGAGAGCCCATTTAATCAAACTTGGATTTCAACACCTAATATGGACAGCTCAAAGCTCGCACCACAACTACAACCTTAAAAACCCCTGAACCCTGAAACCTACACCTGCAACCCGAAACCATTGAAACCGACCCTCAACCCTCCACCCATAAAATCTAAAACCAAGCACAAGAGCAGGCGGGCATGGCAGTGGGCATGGAGATGGGCATGGCGGTGGGCATGGCGATGGGCGCGGCGGTGGGCATGGCGCCGGCTGGCTTGCCCCTAAGCGCTTCATGGCCTCATCGCACTTGTCGTGATCAGCTGTCTTCCCAGCATGGCACGCTGTGTCTGCCAGTATCTTAACCACAGAAACAGGCGGCTGCTCGCCTGTCACCAGCGCATGTTTCTTCCAAAGCCAATCAAGAGCAGCCAGAAAGGCCGCGTGGCTACTGCTAAAACTTTTTAATGTTGCAGTGCGCGTCTTCTGGGTGTATGGCTTTTGCGCGGACTTCTCCTCAGCAGTCTTGGCTTCAGGAAGCTCGCCATAATGCCGAGCTACCCACTGAGTTTCCTCTTTCTTGCCAGTCGAAAGGGAGCAAAGAACAGTTGCATCTGTCATTTCTGGCACCAGCGGTCGTACCCAACTGACATTGGACCGGCGCAAGTATTGCTCAGCATTCTCATCAGGGGCGCAGCCGTCTGTGGTTGCGGCTGGCCCCGCTGTGGCTGGCTCCGCCGCAGACAGGCCTGTTGAAGAAGGCTCACCGCCGCCCCGCATCTTCTGCAGTGCAGCCTTTAGCTTTTCTGAGTTCTTTCGGCCCTGCCCCAAGAGTTCCTTGAACTGCTCGCGCTGCTTTTTGGGCAAGGCCTCCGGGTCCATTTCTTGCAAGCAGGCATAGAAATCATCAGCAACTTCGCCAGGAATCTCTGTGTCACTGTCGCCTTCATCCTCGCGTTCTTGTGTCCCCGCTTTTTGCTGCGCGCGCCTTTTTGCCCAAATTTCGGCCAGCGCAGCCAAGTAGTCTGACACCACTGACTCCTCCAGGCCGCGCAGAAGGTACCTGATGATAGCCGCTTCAGTCTCCTCCTCTGTCGCGGCGACAGGGGCTGAAGACTTCAGGATCTCCCGGATCTTCTTCCGCTGGTGAACTAGCAACTGGGGCTTTTTCCGAACCAAAGCCTCCGCGATGACAGGCACTGCTGCGCCAGTGACCTTCATGGCCAAAAAGCCAAAGCTGTCTGGTTCCTGTGTCGAGGACAGCCAATCCTCGGATTGCGCGGCGCTGGCCAATTAAAATTAATCCCCAGGGCTTCAAGCAAAAAGGGCATTTCAGCTTCAGGGCGAAAGTGGAAGCCCGAGGACGCTGCGCTTTTGCCGCGCGCCAGCACAAGATTATGTCCCGCACTCCCCTGGGCACCCCGGGGGCGCAGAAATATACCAACACGACTTGGCGCGTCGAGAACTCAAAAAAGCACTCCTCCCGCCTAAAAGCATGCGATGTCCTCGGTGCCCAACCTTGGGCGCCCAAACTCGCGCCCCCAGAGCTGGGTGCCCAACCTTGGGCGCGCGCCCAGCCTTGGACTCGCCAAAACCGGGCTAAACTTGGGTGCCCAAACTCGCGCCCCCTTTCTGCCCAAACTCGCGCCCCTAAAACTGCGTGCCCCAACCTGGGTGCCCCGAAACTTAACTGGGTGCCCACCAAACTGGGTGGCCAAACTCGCGCTCCCAAAACTGGGTGCCCAAACTTACGCCCCCACACTCGCGCCCCCCACTGGGTGCCCAAACCCGCGCTGCCCAAACTCGCGCCCCCAAAACTGGGGGCCCAAAGTTGGTTGCCCAACAGCGCGCCCAGCGAGCGCCTCAGTGCCCAAACGCGCGCGCCCAAAGCCGAGTTGCGGGCGACCCGCCCGCAAACCGCAAGGCCTATAATACCCACTGCGCCTAGGCCTTGCTTGCTTGGGGGGGGGATCCCCTTTCAAAGCCAAATCTGCGGGGCAGGATTTAGGACTGGAAACTGGGGCTTTCTCTTGCAGCCAAGCCTCGCAGGGCAGCTTCTCCCACTGCCGCGCATCCAAGATGACCTGGAAATGCCAAGGCGCGCGAAAGTCCAGCCCAAACATCGAAGAGTCCTGCAGCCTCTGCGCGGGCCACACCAAAACTGCATCCTCCGCAGTGGAAATCACGTAGTAGTGCCGATCATCTCTGCAATCGCGCACCAAGTACTGCGAGGCCAAACAGCATGCCTGCCACGTTTGGCTGGCGTGCTGGGTCTGCTTGCTTTCCACCAACCATGTGCAAGCATGCAGCGCAGCCAAGGCATGCCGCCGGCTCTTAGCCGATTTGGAAACCACCTGCTTTTTCAACACTCGCTCCACTTCCCAATCAGGATTCAAAGTTGTCGTGGCATGGATGCGGTCTTGCATGGGCGGGTGCATTCTTGCACTGCCATCCCAGGCTGTTTCTGGCACGGTGACGATAGGCACATGCCGATCTTTGAAAACGTTGTGCTCCTCCAGCCGCACACGGTGCAACACAGTGTGGGAGGCCACCTGGGCCAATGTGGAAACCGACTGCATACCTTTTCCTTAAAGTCAGCGCCGCACCTAGCTTGCAGCGTTTAGCAGCAAATTTTGTCGAGAGTACGCCTGTAAGAAGTCAGCATCTGGGAAATTCCCGAGCACTAATCTCTCAGGGTCTTAAATAAAGTTCTAGCTCTCATCCCCCCCTCAACCCCAAACCCTCCGGGTTTTACGCCCATAAGTCCAATCAAGCGCTTCAGCCTGAAGAAAGCTCCTGGTCCAAGCCGGAGCCAAAGCGCCCAAGCCCGAACAGCTTTGTGCATTAGAAACGGGGGGCACCTAAATTTAGGCCCTAGGGCGAGGATGTTCGTGTCGGGACCGCCTCTTCCTAAATGTCCACACTCGTTTCTTGTTTGCCAAACAGGCCTGGTTGTTGGAGCTGTCGTTCTCAGCCTTCCGCACTTGCTTGTTGGCATTCTCTATGCACACAGAATCCCCGATTCTGGTGAAGCTTCTCCGGAACCAGTCTAGGTCGGACGCCAGCGGCTGAAAGTTCCGAAATTTCAGCAGGCGCAGCCGGAGCTGTGTGCTTGCAAAGTCCAGAAACCAAATCTTTGACCGCAGAGCAGCCAGCCCTGGCATGCGATTCGCTCCCGATTCCGCGGCTTCCGCCATTTCCCAAATGCGCCGCAGGCGCTGCAGCCCTCTCTGCTTCTCGGACTGCTCCGCATTCAGGATCTGAGCGAACGAAGTTGGCAGAGACTGCTCAAGCCACAGGCAGTCCCAGTAAAAGTTCTCCAGGCATCGGCCCAGAAAGTTCCACACCCTTCCAGGAATGGAACTTTCGCTGACGCCTGGGTGCGTAAGGCCAGTGAATTGGCACTGCTCTTCCCCGAAGAATTGCGGGCAGCTGTCCTCTGTTGTCTTGACACCGAGTCTCTCCAAGGAGCGGGCGCAAGAGAGAATGCTCTGCAAAACATGTCGCAAATAGCGACTGCCACCTCCGGATGCCATTGAGCACTTGTACGCAGCTTCTCGCTCGGGGGTTGTTTTCTCTTTGGCCAAACAGGCCTGCTGCAGCTTCATCCATTTGCCAAATACTAACGCAAGGCGCATGTGGAAGAAATTGTAATTGTTGGTGACGACGCACGTCAGCAGCAAGGAGTTGGAAAACTTCTTCTTCAAGGCACGCAGTCTCTCCTTGTGGTCTTCTTTGCTGGAGCCTTCGGGCAGCTTTTGCGCCAGGGCCTGCACGGTCTCGTCCCGGGCAGCTTTCGACCAGCCTTCTCCCCCCAGCAAAGCTCGCGCCATCCAGCGAATGAAAAGTCGCCATTGGTGAAAACAGCAGTCTTTCGCCTCGGCTGCGTCCACGATGGAATACCAAGCGCTCATCCTCATCAGGGTCACTGCTTAAACACAATAAAACCTGCAAGCCCGGCCTGTGCAATTCAATGGCCTTCGTAAATGGCAAACTGCTAGCAAAATGGAAACGAGTGTTCTTGTGCGCGTGCGCGTGTGTGTATTGCTCTGTCGGGTGTGTTACGCGTGGCCAAACGGCTTCTTGCCCTTCCCTCCACCCGCGCTCCGTCCTGTAGACAGGGCCGGCTTTTCGCCAGTCCTCATTCTCCAGAACTTGCCGCTGGAAAAGTTCCAGGGCACGCTCTAAAGTTTCTGGACAAGGCGTGCCTGCATCCCTTGCAGCTTCGGGCATGATCTCCAGAAACTCGCTCAGTGGAAAGGGGTGTAGTCGCTGCAACTCTCGCCACGCCTCGAGCTTCTTCGCTCGGTGAATTCCGTGAAGGCAAAGATTGCAGTTGAAAGCATGCCACCTCCAGAACAGTGCGCTAAATCCACAAGTGCGTTATGATGATCGCGAATGATCTTCAATGTCTCGACCGCGCCCTATGTATTCAAGTGGACTATACACGCAGCACCTAAAAAGGCTGGAACAAACTCACTGCAGCACAGCCGCAACTGAACCAGGCTGAAGTTCACCCCTGAACCTTCCAGCGCTTGTCTGTAGCTGTTCCAGGAACGGTGAAATGGGTCATCCAGATCAAGTCCATTGCAGCGCATATGGCCTCGCAGAAAGGAGGACGCCGCTAGGTCCCACGAAGCTTGATCAAACGTCAAGCTGAGTTCTGGCAACCGCATGAGTTGCTCCTGCTCCGCCAACTTCCTCAACCCCTCTGGCAGGCCATCTTTCCAAGTTCCCATGGCTGGCAGAGCGAAGGATCCAAGATCTTTTTCGCAGGACGCGAGGTCAACTTTCAGTTTCTTAGCTCATCGCTGCGCTGTCTCATTTCTAACCATGGGCCAACAAAAACTCTTCCCACGCCCATTCTTACTACAAAGTAAAACGCAAAAGCTACCCTGCAAGGCCCCAAGAATCGTGGTTGATGCCGCGCAGGAGATCATACGTGGCCATGCCTTGCCTGGTCTTGAAGCCTCTTTTCTCAAAGTCCTGCCGGCTCAAAATTATCTGCCCTTGAGCTCGTGTGCAAATTTGCTTACTGCGCAGACTTGCCTGCCTGCAGGTCTGATTCCGTCAGAGGCTCTCCTGCTAGACTGGTGCGCCACCTTGTGGCTGCGGAAGCTTGTGAGCGCGCAACATGAAACACAATATCAGGATTTCTGGGACAGTCAAGTGCCAAGGCGCAGAAGGGCGCGGACATTCAGCGGGGAGAGAAAAGCGGCTAAATTGCAATCGGGGCTATAAACTGCGAACAGCTCCGTGTGCTGGGACCCAAACGCCGACCCATCGGTTATTATCTCGAGACAGTTTGCTTTTGCAAAGGATGCGTCCACAGCCTTCAAGTATAGGCTGTTGCCTGCTTTCATATTCCATGCGGCGTCGATTGCCTTGATATCTTCGGGGTTTTGCTCTGCCACAGCCACTTGGATGCGTTTGGATTTGTTGAGTCTGGCGTGAAGAACGCTGGGCCACAGACGGGCGCGCTTGCAACTCGGCCCTTTCGGCTGCGTGGCAATGACAACCTGTCCAAGTTGGGCTTCTATACTTGGGCCAACACCCCAGCCCCAACCGAGAAAACAAAAGAGTAACACGAAAAGGAAGGCACGGAAGCAACACTCGCGCAGCCCTTCTGAACCGAACCTGCCTGCGTTGCAGCTGATGTGCAGGCGAGCGCCCATCTAGTGAAGCGGGCGTTGCAACAAGCAAAGATGGCCTGGTAGAGCTCCAGCGGCATGCTCTGCCATATCTCTGCGCCACGCACAGCACGAGACCAAAGCACGGCAATGACAGAGCTGGTCACATCGCTTTCTGGAATTTGGAGCAATTCGCACTGTCCGGACCATGTGTCCTGCAGGAGC